AATTTTCCTTCACTCCGTCCCTCTCGGCGCTTCTTCGGAGTTCCGCTGGTGCTTATTTAACGTCTTTTGACATCTTGGAGTTTATGTTTTTTATGTTTTTGTTTATTGTTATTATTTCTTGTGTTTGTGTTTTAGTGTTGTTCCGATTTTTTCCTCGTTTATTTTTTTTTCCTTTTTTATTTAAGTAAGTTTTCTTACTGTTTATGTTTTTATTATTTTTCTTTATTGTTATTATTTTGTGTGTGTGTTTGACTGTTGTTCACTTTTTTTCCTTGTTTATTTATTTTGTTTTTTTGGAGTTTAATTTTTTTCTTCTTCTTTTTTATGTTTTTTTTGGTGTTTTAATAATGTTCATTTTAGATTTTTTTTGCACTTGTTTATTTAACGTCTTTTGTCTTTTCCTTTATTTAACATCTTTTGTTTTCTTGTAGTTTCTCTTTATCTTTCTTTCTTTTTCTTTTTTTTTAATATTGTTAATGTTGTTCAGTTGTGAGTTTTTCTTTCTTTCTCTTGTTTTTTTTTTTCAAATTTGAACTTGTTTTTTTTTATTTTCGTTTTTTATGTGATGTGGACTTTTTCTCTTTTTTCTCGTCTTTAGGAAACGTTCTTATTCGTGCAGTGTTCTTCTGCTCTTCTTGTTTTCTTAATTCTTCCTTTGGAGATGTTCATCTAGATTTTTTTTATTCTGTATTATTATTATATTAATATTGTTATTATTATTATTATTGTTATTTTTTTTTTACTTTTTTCAATCTTTTCCCTCTTTTTTCATTATTTTGTTTAAATGATTTTTCTTCATCTTGACTCATTTTTTATTTTCTTCTTTTTTTCTTCATCCTTCCTAATCTTTCTTTTTATTCATTCCTTTTTCGTTTATTCATTATCAACTATATCATATATGAGACTTTTTTCTTTTTATCTTCATTTTTTTATCTTTAATCATTTATCTCACCTTTTCTTCTCTACTTCTTCTTCTTCTNTCGATATTTCCGGTCTTCTTTCCATTCTCTCTCCTCCCTTGCATCTCTCTCTTCTTCCTTCCTCTCTTTCCCTCCAAGAAATTCTCAAATGCGAAAAAATTCTCAAAATACCCAAGCAAATTGAGCGAAAGAGGCGACCAACAAACAAAAACAAAAACAAATCGAAAATCCCAACCAATGAAGAAAAAGAGAGAGAAAAAAAAACGCAAACATAAAATAGATCACCGGCAACCGACACCCAGCCAGGGTCTCCCTTCCAACAAATAAAATAAACAAAACATGAACATAAACACGTGTAGCGGCAACCATAAACTGGATCCCGTGACGTATAACCACCTGTACCCAGAGCCGTTCCTGTTCATAATGCTGTTCACCACGACCATGCCGGAGTGGGGGGAGGGAGGGGAGGGGAGAGGGGGGGAGGGGCGGAGGGAGGCAGAGGGAGGAGGAGAAAGAAGGAAAGGAAGGAGAAAAGGTGAGGGAGGAGGAGAAGGAGACGGAGAGAGAGGTGGGGAGAGGGAGAAGATAAAGAAGAGGGAGGAGAGAAGGTGAGGAAGATGGAGAAGATAAAGGAGAGAAAGAGGAAAAGAGCGAGGTATAGGAAGAAAGAGAAGGGAGACGGAAGGAGAAGGGGAAACGTGACAGAGAACATAAAAAAACGAGGAATAAGAAAGAAAACATACAGAAACAGAGAGAGACAGATAGAGAGAGAAAGAAAGAGACAGAGAGAGAGACAGAGAAAGAACACCCCACCCCCGTGGCTCCCGCCCACGGAAGCCGGCCTCCCCCTTCGCCTCGCTTTTCCGAATCCCAAATAAGTCGCCCCCAACCACTGACCCGGAATTCCATTAAAAGAATGTTCCCCGAATGACGAAATATATTTTCCATCCGACGCGGAATGGAACGAATGCGTAAATATTGTTCCAATTAGAGCTTATTCGTTGTGTACGAATAAATGTATATACATTATAAATGCGTGTGCGTATGTGTTTGTGGGTTTCTGTGTTTGTGGGTCTGTTTATACGTGTGTGTGTGTGTGTGTGTGTGTGTGTGTGTGTGTGTGTGTGTGTGTGTGTGTGTGTGTGTGTGTGTGTGTGTGTGTGTGTGTGTGTGTGTACATGCACGCATGCAGCACACACACGGACAACACACACACACACACACACAACACACACACACACACACACAACACACACACACACACACACACACAAACACACCACACACTATACATATACATATATACATATTATATATATATATATATATATATATATATATATATATATATATATATACATGTATGTACGTATGCATGTACATGCGTATATCATTATAATGTTAAAACATGCAAGCACATCACTTCAAACTGCGAAAATACAACCGGAATTACGCAACAGAAAAAAAATGCATAATAACACAATGTGCAGATCGCAAAATACATTAAAAAGCGATATAACCTACACCATAAATCCTTTCATCGGAATTTCATCGGAAAGGGAAGAGTATAAAGAAAAGGGGAAAATAAAAGACAGAAAAAGAAAAGGAAAAAAGAGTCAGATCAAAGGCCTGGCAATTGAGACGTTTTCCCCGATGCTATTCTTGTCTCGCGAAGGACAAGCCGCTTGCGATTCAGGGAAATACTTAAGCACCCTCGGCCGGTAAGGACATGAATGGGAAGGTACACGCACGCACGCAAGCACGGACGCAAACAAACACACGCAAACGGACGCACACAAGCAAACATGAAAACAAACACATGCAAACGGACGCGCACACACAAACATACACACATACGCAAACAGACACACACGTGCACACATGCACAGACGAATGAACTAATTATCATCAAAAAGTAAAAAAAAAAGAAAAAAAAAAAAAGTATCGTCGAATCCCATCTACCTCATCCCATCCCACCCCCACCCCCCCCCCAAAAAAAAAAAAAAAAAAAAAAAAAAAAAAAAAAAAAAAAAAAAAAAAACGGCAGCAACAGTGCCCGCGATCAAATTACGGCTCGGCGGCGTTCATTGCCCGCCCGCCGCACGTCCCATCAGCGTCCGGGAATTCCGCGACGCTCATAATCTCCGGATGGAATTACCTTCGGGAATCAATTAGCGACGGGGCGGCGGCGCGGCGGGCGGCGCGGAACCCCAGCGGCCGGCGAGCGACTCATCCATTAGCACCGGGAAAGAAATTCACGGCACCGTTTCAAGCACACGACGTCGACGCGGGAGAGGCAGGGCTTCGGCGACGCTGCCTCACGATTCTTGGTCTCGCGGTTGGGAGGGAGGAGGGAGGAGGGAGGGAGGGAGGGAGGGAGGGAGGAGGGAGGGAGGGAGGGAGGGAGGGAGGGAGGGAGGGAGAGAGGGAGAGAGAGAGAGAGAGAGAGAGAGAGAGAGAGAGAGAGAGAAGAGAGAGAGAGAGAGAGAGAGAGAGAGAGAGAGAGAGAGAGAGAGAGAGAGAGAGATACAGGAAGTGAAAAATACATATACAAACAAGAAAAGTGAAGGGAAGGAAAGAGAAAAAATAAGAAAATAGAAAAGAAAAGAAAAAAATAGAGGAAAAATCCACAACGAAAGAAGAGAAAGCGAGAGAGAGAAGGGGAGGATAAGTAAAAAAGAAAAAGTAAACAATAAAACAATCTAAAAACATACACAACAGAAAAGGAAAAACCAAAACAAAAGACTACACAAAAAAAACAAACAAACAAAAAAATAAAGAATTGGCAAGAGAACGAGAAGGGAGAGACAGTACACCGGAGCCCCCACCAAGCCCGCTCCGTAATGCATGCAGTACCTTTAACCACGAGCCGATCCCGCGTACCCAAAACCCAATACGGAGAAGGAGAAGGAGAAGAAAAAGAAGAAGAAAAAAAAAGAAAGAGAAGAAGGAGATCTCCTTAAGAAGAAGAAGAAGAAGAAGAAGAAGAAGAAGAAGAAGAAGAAGAAGAAGAAGAAGAAGAAGAAGAAGAAGAAGAAGAAGAAGAAGAAGAAGAAAAGAAAAAAAGAAAAAAGAAAAAAAAGAAAAAGAAGAAGAGAAAGAAGAAGGATAACCCAATACAGAGAATCGTTGCCATTCAACAACAGCACATTAGCGGTACAAGGAATTAAATTCCTTTTATCTGCTTGCAATGGGATCTTTCGGTTCAGAGAGATGGAGGAAGGGGAGGAGATGAAGGAGGATGAAGAAGGGAAGAGAGGAAGAAAGAAGAATAGGAGAGAGGGAGAAAGAAGAAAGGGAGAGGGAGAAAGAAAAATGGGAGAGAGGGAGAAGAATGGAGAGAGGGAGAAAGAAGAAGGGAGGGAGGGAGAAAGAAGAAGAAGAGAAGAAAGAAGAATGAGAGAGAGAAAGAGAATGGAGAGAAGGAGAAAGAAGGGGAGATAGGGTGAAAGGGATGGAAGCAGGAAGAAAGGAAGAATGGAAGTATGGAGGGAAGGGAGGTAGGAAAGAAAGGAAGAAGGTAACGAATGAATGACCGAGGGAGGGAAGGGTGGAAAAAAAGGAAGAATGAAAAGGGAGGAAAGAAGACAGAGAGAAGATAGGAGAATGCGAACGGGGTAGAGGAAGGTTAGGGATCCCTGATGACAATAATCCCTCGCCATCCTCATCTTCCTACTTTTCATTTTCCTAGTTCGATCTTTCCATCCTACTGTTCTCATTTTGAGATGCACACACACACATCATTTGACAGCTGACGGGCAAGTGACGATAACAAAAATCCACTTCACTCGTACATTTTCGCCTCGTAAAAGAAAGAAAGAAAGAAAGAAAGAAAGAAAGAAGAAGAAAAGAAAAGAATAAGAATAAGAAAAGAAAAGAAAGAAAAAGAAAAAGAAAAAGAAAAAGAAAAAGAAAAAGAAGATGAAGAAGAAGAAGAAAAAGAATAATCCATCTTCCCTTAAAAAGAAGAAGAAGAAGAAGAAGAGAGAAGAGAGAAGATCATCCATCTTCCCTTATTTATTCGGTCGACCGCCCAAAACACCTGCCTGACGCGGGCGCCGGTGCCTGACTTGGCCGCAA